AATGGGTGAATGAAGAGATCTTCTGGCGACAAAAATCGAGAGTGCAGTGGCTGAGTGCTGGGGATCAAAATTCAGGATATTTTCATACGGTTACAAGAACCAGGCGGAGGAGAAATTTCATAGAGGGGTTAAAGAATGACGATGGGATTTGGGTGACTGATGAAGGACAAAAGGGCGAGGTGGCGTGTGGCTTTTATGATCATCTGTTTCGTTCAGAGAATCAGATACAGGATATGATGGCGCGGGTGTCTGAGCTTCCAGTTCCTGTCTCTGTCACTGAGGAGATGAACAGAAGTTTGACAGCGGAGGTCACGGCATTGGAAATCAGGAGAGCGGTATTTGATATAGGAGCTACCCAGGCGCCGGGGTCTGATGGATTCACTGGCAAATTCTATCGTAGCTATTGGGACATTGTGGGTCCAGATGTAGTGGAAGCGGTCCAGTCATTTTTTCGATCTGGTAGAATGCTGAAGAGTTTCAATCATACGTGGTTGACCTTGGTCCCTAAGGTGGAAACAGTTGAGACGATGAAGCAGATTCGACCGATCAGTCTTTGTCAAGTGTTTTATAAGATTATTTCAAAAATCATCGGGGAGCGAATGGCCATCATTTTGCCTTCAGTTATCTCACCGGAGCAAAATGGGTTTATTCGGGAACGTCAGATAGTGGACAATGTTCTGATCGGGCATGAGATTATGCACTATCTTAAGATTAAAAAGCAGGGGAAGAAAGGGTACTTAGCTCTAAAGGTTGATATGGAAAAGGCCTATGATAGAGTTGAGTGGTTCTTCTTGTTTGCTTTAATGACTAAGATGGGGTTTAGTGCTCAATGGATTGGGTGGATACAGGAATGCGTTTCTACAGCGTCATTCTCGGTAATGATGAATGGTACCCCGTCTGGATATTTTAGATCGACGAGGGGGTTACGTCAAGGAGATCCTCTGTCTCCATTATTATTTGCCATTTGCTCTGAAGGATTTGCGGCACTGATTAGAAAGGCGATTCAGACTAGAAGTTTAGTTGGAGTCAAGGTTAATCCCCAGAGCCCCAGTGTGTCTCATCTTTTCTTTGCGGATGACTCATATCTTTTTCTCCGGGCTTCCAAGAATGAGTGTGAAACATTACTTGGTCTGCTAAGGGAGTACCAGGAGTTGAGTGGTCAGAAAGTGAATTTGAACAAGTCCGCGGTTTGTTTTAGTGGGAATGTGGATCCCCCGGAGGCAGAAGAGATGGCAGCCATTTTAGGAGTGGGAGCGATTGGTGTTCAGGACAGGTACTTGGGTCTTCCATCTCTAGTGCAGAGATCGAAATTGGAAACGTTTCGATACCTTGAAGAGAGATTATTGGCTAAGCTACAAGGATGGAAGCAGAAGAAACTGTCGTGGGCAGCAAAGGAAGTATTGCTGAAGGCGGTGGCTGCGGGCCTCCCGATTTATGTCATGTCGTGCTTCCTGCTACCAGTGACTCTTTGTCGTAAGCTGGATAAGTACATGGAGCGGTTCTGGTGGGGATTCTCAGGAGAGAAGGACAAGGCTCATTGGGTGTCCTGGCGTAACCTATGCAGGAGCAAATTTGATGGCGGTCTGGGGTTTCGACGGTTCGAGAACTTTAACCAGGCGTTATTGGCAAAGGTAGCCTGGAGAATTTGGAAGGAGCCGGATTCGTTGCTGGCAAGGGTACTGAAAGGGAAATACTTCCCCCGGACATCTATTCTTACAGCAACACGTAGGTCGAGACCTTCATGGGGTTGGATCAGTATTTTGCATGGAAGGGACTTGCTTGTCAAGGGTCTTGGGTGGCAGATTGGAGTAGGCTCGCAGGTCAGAATTAGGGAGGATAACTGGATCCCGGGTATTAGTCCGGCGGAGCTGGAAGTGAAGGCCTCGGCGCCGGATCTGACAGGAGTAATGGTTAACTCGCTGCTGGTACCTGGCAAGGGTGAATGGTGTTTGGAATGTTTGGACCAATGCTTCCCTAGACCGATAGTGCAGGCTATCCAGGCTATACCACTGCCGAGGGGTGGGGTGGAAGATAGCCAGGTCTGGACAGGTGACGGGGATGGGGAGTATTCGGTGAAGTCGGGATATCATTTAGCCTGTAAATATGCTAGGCAGAGTCAGGAGTGGAAGACTGAGGTGTCATTTTTTGATACGAAGTGTTGGAAAAAGCTCTGGGGACTGCCCATTCCGCCGAAGTTGAAGTGCTTCCTTTGGCAGAGCATGAAGCGGATCCTCCCCACTATGGAGACGATAGCTGAGCGGACTGGTAGAATACCTGGAGAAGTGGAGCCTGATGCGGGAGAAGATGTTGTCGATCCCAGGTGCCCGGTTTGTTGGGCACCGTTGGAGACTTTGGAGCATATGTTTCTTTCTTGCAGGATGGCAAGGATGCTCTGGGAGAGGTCGGGTCTGGAGGAATAGCTTGTGCGGGAGCCTCCGTTGAACTTTGCTATGTTCCTTCGCCGCTCTTTTTTTTAGCAGGAGGCTAGTGTAGAGAGAACAATCCGGTTTGTGGCAACTCTTTGGAGAATTTGGAAGAGTAGAAATTGGGTAGTGTTTGATCATGTTCAATATGGGGTGAGTGCGCTGGTGAGGCAATTTGAGGAGCAGGTCTGTGAGTGGTTAAGTCTGGCTGAGGAGGGGCGGAATAGAGGGAATCGGGGTCAACAGGGAGGGGGTGCGAATTGTGTGGCTGGTAGATCTCAGACTGCTATGCCTTATCGATGCTATGTGGATGGTGCAGTACGTGCTGGCTCACATGGTGCTGGTGGCTTGGTGGTCTATGATGGGGTGGGGAGGGTATGTTTTGTGCAAGGATTTTCTTATGCAGGTCTGGAGGATCCGTTTCTGGTGGAATTGGTGGCGTTTCGTGATGCAATTCAATGGTGCTCTATGAAGGGACTAGCTGAAGTGCAATTCTGTGGGGATGCGAAGGTTGTCATTGAGAAAATCCAGAGGATGGATGCTAGGGATGTGAAAGGAGGCCGGATTCTTGAAGAAATTCGGAAGTTGCGGCTGCAAGTCTTGCGTTTGGAGATGGCTTTTATTGGCAGGAGTAACAATCGGGTGGCCCATGAAGTGGCTAGGAAGACCCTTTCTTTGTTACCTGCAGTTGTAGATACTTTTGATTTTTTTCGTTGGTTTGTTCTTGAGTTGTAAACTGTTCTAGCTGTTTGCCTTGGTAATACAAGTGATCTATTGGTAAAAAAAAAAAGTGAATTATGGGAGGAGCTGAATTTTGATTAAATTGTTATTATTGTTTAACAAAGTTTAGTAACGTAATAATTACTTACCTCCTTTCTCGCAACCTCGTAAATTATAAACTAAGATTTGCTGGCAGGCAGGCTTTCACACTTGGATCCAAGGACGAATTCTTCTCCTGCTGTCATAGTGGCCCATTTTAGGCCCAATTTAGTTACTCCATGCCCCGTTGGTCTCAAATGGAAGGAGCCCTCAACTTGAAAGATACAAAACGCAGCACTTCATTAAATATGCAGGGGCAGGAAAAGACTAAAATGCCATTTCGTGAAGCTCTCAGAAGCCAGCTTTTTTGAATCCCTGCAATTTGGAGTCATGAATATGCTTCATATATTTTATAGAAGTGGATGAGAAGAAGATGATAAAAAAACATTTTCTTGGTCGGCGAGGGATAGCTTGTCTGAGGCGTTGAGGGATTCAATCTGGGAGTGGAGATCGGAGATAAGATTGTCTCGGTCAGCGAGCTGGTCGCGGAGGGAGGCAGATTGGGCCTGGTGGGAAGGCGATGGAGGTGACCTTGCGGGCTATGTCGACCTGTTCGAATGGGTACGGGTGGGTTGAGTCGGGAATCGGTTGGGTCAATTCAATTGTTTAATTTTTTTTATTAATATTTGTAGTGACGTGGCATACTGACTGGATGGAGGTAACAAATTTTTGGACGGAATAACCTTTTAGAAATTAGTTCAAACTTTTGTTACTGAAACGTGAAAAATTATAGGTTTGTGACCGTTTTGTACAAAGTGAATAGTTTTATTACATTTATGATAACTACCTGAAAATTTTTATTATACTGTTGCTAATACCACAATCAAAAATCAAATGCAAATTAGCAAACAATACTTCTAATCCTATGAGAAGCTGCAGCAAAGCGTGACACAAAATCTACCTAGTATATTCTAAATCTGTAACTGAAGGAGGTAGCTTTCTCAATCCAATCAATAAAATCTGCTGACTTTTCCTTCGTTCTCCTCTTCCTCCTTCCTTGGCTCAAGATAGGGTGCATAACCTTAGGGTGCATAACTATGAGTAACCAAATTTGGCCCCTTCTTTTAAGTGACTGCAGATCTAAGTATGGAGAATTAAAAAAAATTATTTTCCCTAGTTTTCTTGATTGGATCATATCTTCTTCATTCTAACGGATTTCAATTTTTTTTGGCACAGATCGAACGAGTTCGTTGTGCTCTACAAAATGATATCCATTTTCAATATTTTTTGAGATTTTTTTTCATGCCTCTCATTACCAACTCCATACCATATGGCATCTCCTTCGTTTTTTAGTCATTTTTGGAAAATTTTGCACAGAAGGAACGATTTAATCATGATATATTGGATTTCAAAAATTTATCGGTGAAAAAATTTCATATCTCTCATTACCAACTCCATACCGTATTATACCACCGCGGTATGAGGTGGTATTTTTCATATCATATGATATGCTCTTATTTAATACTAGTCAATACCATATGGTACAGACTGGTAATAACTGGCAAATTTTTTTGTTCAAAAAAATATCAAAGTGAATATTATTTTGAAGAACACAATTAATCTGATCTAACTATGTAAAAAAAAGTTAAATTCCGACTTAAAACGAGTGAGAAATCATCCTTAAAAATTAAGAGAATGAAAATTAAAACTTTTTAAAGAAGAGAGAAAGAGGCGCTGATGTGTCAGAATCTTACTAGATATGAATGAGGTTATTGTATCACAAGGTTAACGGACTGAATCTGCAATTTGTTCGATCAAGACCTCCAGCACCTGATTGCCGCGGCCTGTGTACTTGAGCTGGCAAAAGTCGAAGCCAGGCTGCCGGCGGAAGAGATTGTGAATTTCGCGAGCTTTAACATCATCCGGCAAACCGAAGATGAACAGCGTGTCGATCCCGTTACGATCAATAGTTGCCGTAGGTAAGGGCTGAGGTTGCTGTAAGTGGCTGTAAGGATCGTACACCGACTGGGAATAACGACGGGCAGTCATCGATTCAAAATCTGAGCTGAAGGGAAACACAAATTTCGACGAATAATTACACCGGAAGGAGGCGGTAAGAAAATAGAGGAGCCCAAATGCCCCATTCGTACCAAAAGCCCATTATCGTTTCGGAATGAAAACGGGTCAGGCTAGACCCGGACCAAAAGCATCAGAAACCTAAAAGAAAACAAAATTGAACAGAGCAGTCATTTGAAGGGGGGAAAATTCGGAATCGGAGAGAAGACGCGTAGCTGTTCTCAATCCTTTTTCATGCAACGGAGGTTCGAGCTTCTAATTTTTTGACTAGGTAATTCATCTCTCTGCTTATAACAGTGAATCTTCTTTGTTTTGAGCTATGGGGGTGAAAGAGTTGAGCTTTTTTGTTTACTCGACGATTGATGGCCGAAAGTTGGGATTCTGATTTTTGGGTTCAGAAGGATTCGGCAAAATGTCTTGGTCAAGCCTTGCTAGGGCTAGGAGCTTTCATCAGTATCTCGTTACACCTTACCTGAAGTCGCTTAGTCAAACAAATTCCTTTCACATTCAGTCCAGGTGAAACTTAGAGTCGCATTCGATCAAGCTAGTAGCATATAAGTTCGTATTCTAATGCCCTCTTCATGTTTGTTTATTTACAGCTCCACCAGAGCAAGCAGCAATTACTACAGCAACGCCGACCGTTGTGGGTTGGAGGGATTTAGGACGGCAGCGCAAATTAGCAGTAATAGTAGTTGCAGTGTTAAGCGGTATTTTGCTACAACTGCAGCTGGTAGATCTTCAGCTCCTACCGAGCAGAAGTCGAGGAAGACGTTGATGTATCTCACTGGATTGGTAGCCGTAATGGTGGGGTGTACATATGCTGCTGTTCCTCTTTACAGGACCTTTTGTCAGGCAACTGGTTATGGTGGAACTGTACAGCGCCGGGAGGTTCGTTCTTTCTTCCTTGGCCTGCCTATTAGTTTGGTGTTTGTCTGTGATGTTTCAGGTTCTTATTTGGATTTAAGATTTTGATTTATTGCACTTCAATTGTTTTATGGTCTTTTGTAGACTGTTGAAGAGAAGATTTCACGGCATGCTAAAGATGGAACTGTGGCAACAAGGTATCTTAACCTAGCCTCTGTAATATGATTAAATTTGATGGTATGGTTCTGTTTAAGGCCAACATAGCTTATATTTATGGTGTTTCGTCCTTTTCTGTTTATCTCTAGAGAGATTGTGGTGCAGTTTAATGCTGATGTGGCTGATGGAATGCCGTGGAAGTTTATTCCAACACAAAGAGAGGTTATATTTTTGTATGCTTGTGATGCCTTACTTAGACGTAGAATGAAGCTCTGTGTTGGATGTTAATCTATTGAATTTTGAGGTTTCCTTTTATTTTCGGGTGAATAGGTGAGAGTAAAGCCAGGAGAAAGTGCCCTTGCATTTTATACAGCTGAGAATCGCAGTTCAGCTCCAATAACTGGAGTATCTACCTATAATGTTACTCCCATGAAGGTGCTGGTTTGATTTCAATTTTTAATTTCTGGTCATTTAATTTGATATGCTTCAATGGACCTTCGATGAACTTGGTCGGTATCGCTCGTGGTTGATGGGAAAATAATGGTTATCGCCTTCGTGGTTGAAATGGACAGTACAGGCAAATTCCTTAAGAATTTTGGGGAGATGTCAAGCTAATTTTCATTTTATAGGTACATTTCCTAAAGTCTAATGCAGTACTTGTCTGGTTTTCACTTCCAAACTAGGCAGCCTCTTCATTATGACTTTCATCCTTGGATATCGAATTTTAACTCGGACAAGCTAAGAGTTAGGTTACCTTATTCCAATGTTCAAGAAGACGCTAGGCGCTATCTAGGCGAGGAGGCATCGTATAGCGCCCAAGACGATTAGTCGTTGCCTAGGCGAGATTAAACGTTGAAAAAAATATGATAGATATTTAAGTTTAGCGTGCAAGATCGAACATAACAGTCATAAGTTCACTGATTTACATGTGATCACACTTACACATCAATAAGCAGAATACAAGGATATCCCATTTGTTTAATTGCCAACAATGACTGCAATTAGTGAAAGTTAAGAACATAAATTAGCCCTCCCTTTGTTTTGGACATACATGGATCTCATTGCTAGCCGATGAGGGAGTGCAGATGGTCGAATGGAAATCGAAAATAGAATAGTGTTTGGGGTTTCCACAAAACAGTTACACTTTCCCTTTTATTAGTTGTTCTGGGCATCTCGCACCAGAGTGGAAACCCGCCTCCGTGCACCTAGGCACTATTAGGCGTGCACTATTAGGCGTTTTTCATTGAGATGAATAGTTTTGCACGCTCATATCAATCGCCGAGAGCTAGACGGGGTGATTTCCTCCTGCCCAGCTATTAATCGCGCCTAGGCGAGCGATTAATCGCGTCTTCTTGAACACTGCCTTATTCAATGTGCTGCAGTCCACTGAGGGCTTTTGTACTCTGAAATGCCAAAATCAGGCGTTAAAAATTCAAGCTATGCTCATTGCAATGCTTTCTTTCAGTCATTTGTTGTGCAACAACACTTTTGCTGTTTGCATCAAAACAGAATCAGCCATAGTGTCAACCAAAAAAAAGTGTCTAAACCTAAATCCGCAGTTGAAATCAGAATCATTATGGCGCGATCATAGATTATTATGATGCTATGATTGAGTAATGCAGCTTGATTGACATGGATGGAATCATGATGTCTCTCTCTAGTGACTACCATGAACGAAGTAGATCCTACCCCTTGTGACTAATTCTCTTTTATTTGTGGCTTATGTTTTCATTCCAGGCTGCTGTATACTTCAACAAAATACAATGCTTTTGCTTCGAGGAACAACGTCTACTTCCGGGAGAACAAGTTGACATGCCTGTGAGTAAACTGAATCTCCTCCTTTTCGTACATACCCTTCTCCTTTCCTCCATTCTAAGAGGGCTTGCCTCGCTCATTCTATGAATGAATGCTCCGTTTTGCAGGTCTTCTTTTACATAGACCCTGAGTTTGAGACGGATCCTAAGATGGATGGGATCAACAACATTATCTTGTCCTACACTTTCTTCCGGATTCCAGATCAATAAATCTTGCAGCATGTGAGGTTATTGTTTGTACATCTAGATTCACAATTTTTTTCCTGGACCGATATTCTTAGGAGCCAACTCATGCAAGGTAACTTAGTTCCATTAAAGATAATTCAGTACGAGACTGATGTATGTATGATCAAAAGAACAAATAGAGAGCTCTGAATTTTGATGAAGTAGAGGTGTATTATTAAAATACATGCATTTCACTCACCACAGTGTAAGTGGCAGGCAGGAAATGTTGATAATAAGCTCAGGGGTCGTTTGGATTGATTATTTCGGGGTGTTATTTGGGGTCAAATAACACAAAATCTGTTATTTGACTCCAAATAACATGTTTGGCTGACAAAAAGTGGGATGTGTTATTTGGATGTAACGTGTTTTGCCAAATAACAGGTTTGAGACCAAATAACACAAAAAGTGTTGTTTGCCAAATACTTGGGAGGGGCAAGTATTTGCCAAATAACAAGTTTGAGACCAAATATCACATACCAAATAACAGGTTTTATATTATGTGATATTTGTGTGGTAATTGGCCCCAAACAACATGTTTGCCAAATACTCAATCCAAACGATCCCTCACTTTTTCTCGAGTGATTTGAAGTTGGAAGAAATTCAAGCTGATCAATACTTACGGAGATAATAAGGTAGACACTGTATACTATGGATCAATACTACAGTATAGTATATACAAGTCACTCGCTCCAAATTGGAAGGCATTTGTTTCGAATTTCAGTTAAATCTGTATGCAACTTTCGTGCCTCATTAGAAAGGTCATTATAGCATCCTTCAACAAATTGGATTCAAGCCTCCGCACTTGGGAAAGATGAAATTTTCAAGACTGAAATTAAGGTCCATTTAGTTTTCAAACTCTGTGTGGGCGATGCGAAGGTGACAGTGGTTAAAAGTTATGAGTACAGTCGAATGATGTTTGTGAAATGCAAATTGGATGAGATTTTGGTTCAGCGTAACAAATTTGCAAGATTTGAAGTCCACTTTATTCTTGATTGTTTTGCACAATGTAACTATCTTGTATTGGACTATTAATTTGTCACACTAATATTTTGTGGAGGGATCGTTTGAAAAAAAAAAGAAAATGGAAATTGCTATATGGACAGACAAATTCACAAGAAAAGCTCAAAATAGGGTGCATAATGGGTTATGCACACATCAATAACTAAATCTAGACGCTTCATTTAGAAAATCCAGATCTAAAGATGGAAAACTAAAATTTTTTATTTTTCCTAACTTTCTTAATCGCCTCATATCTTCTTCGTTTTAACTCGGATTTTAATTTTTTTTGCACAGATGAAACGAGTTCATTGTGCTCTATAAAATGAGATTCATTTTCAATATATTTTGAGAAAAAAAAATTATTGTCTCTTGGTACCAACTGCATACCATATAGTATCTTCTTCGTTTTTGAAAACGTTTGCGCAAAAGTAACGAGTTCATCATGATCTATTGGATCTACAAATTTCTGGGTGAACAAATTACAGGACCAAAAAATACCACACAATACCATACAATACCACCCTGGTACGAGGTGGTATCTTGTGGCACACAATGTTAAAAGTCGTAAATGACAGTTAATATAATTTTTCTATCATGTATTCAACCATCCTACGATCTTGGTTTGTTCATACCACCATGGTACGCTTTTCAAACTATAGGTATGCTCTTATTTCAATACCAGTCAATACCATATGGTATAGACGGGTAAAAATGACTCAATTTTTTTTGTTCGAAAAATATATCAAAGTGGATATCATTTTGAAGAGCACAATTAATCTGATCTAACTGTGAAAAAAATTAAATTTTGACTTAAAATGAGTGAGAAATCATCCGTCAAAGATTAAGGAGGAGAAAATTAAAGCTTTTCCAGAAAAGAGAGGAATGTTAATGTCATGTTAATGTGGATTTGTTACTCATTGTTACTCACCATTACTGACCTGATCATCGCAATAAATCCTCCCACTAATTAAAGATATCATCGCAATAGTAAACCAAAATAATAATTCAATAAACCAACACAATGTAATAAAATACAAAAATTAACCCCGCACATGTCGTACAGATCCAAACCAGAAAAAGACACCCTCACAGATTTCAAGAAGAAGACCGGCCGCCCCCGCCGCCGGCTAGGAACCCTGCGGTCTCTTCCTCGTCAACAAACAAATCCTCCGTCTTCCTCGTTACTCCGTGAGCAAGAACCACCGCTGCTCCGACCAGAAGGGACCCCACGGTGTTCCACAGAACATCGGTGAGGAGCAGCACACCCACCGTGAGCACCGAAAGCCCCGCCAGCACAGCCTGGTCGCCAATCAGTCTCCCGAACACCACCAGCGGCTAGTCGCGGAGAAAGTAGAGGAACAGCCAGCCGGCCATTGCGGCGATGTAGACGATTAGCGAGATTGGGTGCCAGAGGAGGCTGAGGAACAAGATCCCCAAAACAATTGCGGCGTAGTTCATCCGGAAGTAGGCTGAATTCGTCTTGAGGCGGCCGATTGCGTTGGCTATGTTTCCGGGGAGACCGAAGCTGCGGATGTCGAGCATCGACTTCCATGGTCGGAGGGTGCCGAGGCCGTCTCTGATTCGGTCTTTGGCGGCGCGGGAGATGTAGGCGATGTTGGAGAACGTCGAGGAGGAGCTGCTGCCGCCGCCGGAGGAGGTCGGGATTGTGCCGTAGTTGGTCATTGGTGGCGCTAGCCGGGGATTTTGACTTGTGACGAAGGAAACGTCGGCGTATTGGGGTTTTGGTTGGGAGAAGTGCAAAGAATGGAGAAACCCCAACGGGATGGATCGTTTTGCGGGCAGTTGGTGATTTTAACGCCAAGCCTTCCGAGGCCTGCAGGACTGTTAATGGTCCGAGCCGAAGTTTACCATTATTGGTGTTCAGCTCATTGAGTTCGAGCTCATCTGCTCATGTTGCCAAATGAGCTTAACGAGCACAAATTCGAGTTTCAGTTGACAGGTAACAAATTAGTCATCATTGGGCATAAAGAATACATCATCAGCTGGCAGAAGCTTTGCAATTAAGGCTTTTCCCCTACTCACTTTCGGGGAATGCACTTCGATGGCTCAATAACCGGTCGCCTCGCTCAATTACCTCGAGGGATGATCTTCTCAACAAATTCATGACCTGCTATTTTCCTCCTTCGAAGATGGTCGAGTGGAGAAAGAAGATCACCCATTTTGAGCAAGACGAAGATGAGAACTTGAGAGATGCTTGGGAAAGATTCTATGACTACTTCCTTTAATGCCCTCACCATGGATTCGAGGAGCAATTTCGGATAAAAACTTTCTATGGTGGCCTTATACATGTAGACAAGATCCTCATTGACTCTCTTTGCCATGGGAGATTGATGAAAATGACCCCACCTCAAGTGACCCAGTTACTCGAAGATATGGCTCTTAAAGGATATGATTGGGGCTTGACAAGAGGTGGGAAGAGAAGTAATGAAAGATGAGTAATAAGTGTGGGAGCAAGTGCTCCACTTGAAGCGAAGTTTGACAAGTTGATCGAGGTAATTCTTGAGGATAAGAAGCAGGGAAAGAGAGCGGTGATGTCTTGCGATTGGTGTTCAAGTACTAACCATGAGATGGTGGATTAACAAGCAATGAAGGAACAAAGCACTCCGGAGGAACAAGTCAATTTCGTTTCCAATGCTAGGGGGAACAACCCGTATAGCAATACTTATAACCCCGGGTAGAGAAATCATCCTAACTTTGCTTGGTCGTCCCCGATTAATATGAGACCCCCTGGTTTCCAAGGCCCTACAGGCAATTATCAACCTCAACCAACTTTCGTCCAACAAAGGCCTTAATTCCAAAACTCAAGCTTCCAACAACCTTACCAAGCACAAGGTGGTCAAGGGTTTCAACAACAACAACAACAACAACAACCCGACAAGTTGTCCAAACTTGAAGACCTAGTGAATACCTTTGTGAGCATGAGTGCTAAGAAGTTCAAGAAGTTTGAGCAATTTATGGATGTGGAGACTACCAAGTTTACCTCGGTTGAGGCGGGACTCGGAAGCCATCAAGCAAGCATTCAAAATTGGGAGGTGAAAATGGGCAATTTTGTCGGGATCCTCACCGAGAGACCAAAGGGAACTCTACCTTCTCAAATGGTGGCAAATCCCAAGGATCATGCCGGGGTGAATGTGATTCAATTGAGAAGTGTGAAGGTGACTCCGGGATTTTTTGCAAAGGGAGTGATTGAGAAGGAAGACTCCAACCCCAAGGATGGATATGAAGAGTCCTCGATGGGAGAGAAAGAGGTGGCAAGGAAGGCATCGCCAACGCCATCTCCGATGGCTGAGTACAAGCCACCTCTTCCTTTTCCCATAATGGTGTACAAGGAGAGGTTGGAAGCGGAATGTGGAGGCTTCATGGAGATGCTCCGAAATCTCCACCTCAACATCCCCTTCCTTAAAGCTATGGCTCACATGCCAAGGTATGCAAAGTACCTCAAAGGATTCCTCATCAAGAAACCAAAATTCGAAGACCTTGCCAACGTGACTCTAGGCGAGGACTGCTCGGATTTCATCCTCAACTGGTTGCCCAAGAAGCGACCCAGCCCAGGTAGCTTCACTGTCCCTCTTAGTATTGGTAACCGTCACATAGAAAATGCCTTGGCGGATTTAGGAGCAAGTGTCAATGTGATGCCCTATAAGCTTTTAAAAAGATTAGACCTAGGTGAACTCAAGACCACTAAGCTTAGTGTCACATTAGCCGACCGCTCGGTCATTAATCCTAGGGGAAACGTGGAGGACTTGTTAGTATAAGTGGGAAAGTTTTGCTATCCGACGGATTTTGTGATCCTTGATATAAGTGAGGACTCGGACCTGCCACTCATACAAGGACGTCCCTTCCTTGACACCGCCAAGGCGTTAATTGATGTTAATGAGGGGACCTTGATTCTGAGGGATGGTGAGGAGAGGATCACTCTTGAAATTGAACCTAAGGCTAGAAGTGAGGATGTGAAGGAGTTGGTATCGGACGACTTGAATGTGAGTGGAGGAGAGCCTCTCAAGGCAAACCCCACTATTACTTGTGTTGCTTGTGATGATGTTAAGAAGGAAGTTAAGGAGGGTACTATGCCCAAAGAAAGGAAGAAGAAAGCTTGGAGGGAAAAGATGAAGCAAGCTTTGACCCAAAGAAGGAGAAAGGGCAAAGCTAAGGTCGTCGGCCAAGAAGGCAACCCCATGGAACTTAACTGGAAGGCTACATGCCTCGCCCCGAGAATGTGGCGGATCCACTCTCGGTGGCATCATGTTCCAAAGCATGATAGATCCGCAACGTCAAGCTTGTGACGTTAACTTAGAGCTTGTTGGGAGGCAACCCAATGTAAGTTTGTTTTCTTTTCCTTATTTTTGTTTTTGTGTGATGAACAGAGGGCTTCTAGATCTCTTCTCCATGAGGCATCCTACGGAGTCGATCCATCTAGGATCACTGATAACCACCTCTTTCGCCTGGTGTCTGGGGAGGAAAAGGGTGGACACTATGCACATGGGGGGCATCATCATGAGGATTGCCCACCACTTCAAAGTGGGTGTGGAGCGATGATCCATCGTTGGCAAGACCGAGCCCTTCCCAGTAGCTACACTATATAACCAGCAATTGGTACTTTAGGAGAGGGGGATCGAGTACCTCGGCGGGCTACGACCTTCGGGCGCCATGCACCCAGTAGTTGACCCAACTTTAGTGGAGCCAGATGCAGGTGTTCCACCCCCAGAGCAGCCACCTGCTCGAGCACCCGGCTGCCGCCAGCGTCCCGCTCTCCAGCTCCATATACCACCTCCAGCAGCAGCTTCATCATCCAGACCAGTCGGGGATCCCCTCGTCCAGAGGATTGATCGCCTCGAGACTTAGTTTAGGGGAGTGACTTCCCGTCTCGAGTGGCAGACCAACCTCCTTGAGTAGATGGCTAGACGCCAGGGTCTCATTCCCGATGACGAGCCGAGGCTTTCTGCACAATGAGAGGTAGCCGACGAGTGAGATATATGGCAGAGCCAATTCCTTTTGCCCCACTACTCCACTTGGAAATCTGAACTGGTTTTTCTTATTTTTCGTTCGTTTATGTGTTTGTGACTATAAACTACTACTACTATCGTATTGTGTTGTGTAATAACCTCGCCTTGAGCGAGTCACATTGTGTTTGTGTATGTGTGTTTTTTTCTTCTCCTTGAAGCTCCAAATATCCTACCCCGGAAACAATTCCAACTTTCACTCACCAAGCAAAGCGGTAACGTCGTTCTTCCCCTATCTTACTCCATTGAGGGCAATGTCAAGGTTAAGTGTGTGTGGGGGGGGGGGGGGTAGTCTATTATTATGCTTGTGTGAGTGTGATTGATGCTTGGAGCCTTGATGTATGCCCAAATTTGAGGGCTCCAAGCAATGTTTGCATGATCAAAGTGGCCGGTTTGTGTGAGAATTTCGTGTCTATTGGCTTTAACCTTGAATTGTTGCATGTGATCGAGTATGTCCTATGATGATGACTGAGAGGTGCATTAGGATAGTGCAAAGGTTTAGTTGTCATGTGTGCAAAAATGAATGGATGTTTTGACTCGATTACTTGTTGATTACAATTGCCATGCATGTTGCTTTGTGAATTGGAATAGATGGTTGGGTTACTAGGTAGCCATGTGAGTTTTGAGCCGATCATTTTCTTCTTGTGTGCTTAGATCCCTCTTAACATGGTTAGTAACGTCACAGTTGTCACTAGTGAGTATGATGGAGGCATATGATTAGTCCACGCCCAAATGTTGATTGTCCGGAAATGATTTATCCACTAGTCAACCCCTTTGAGCCTTGTGACTTTGGGGTTCGTTCTCATGTTAGGATCTTTTTGCTTGTGAGCTTAATGGTGTTGATAGAAAGACTCCCCATCCTTTCTTCGTGTCTATACGTGTGTCGTCCTTGTGTCCCGGAGATCTCGCTTTTGAGTTCTGTTGAGGTTCGACATAGGAGGATTGTGTGCAGTTCTTGCTAGGATCGAAAGTGAAATGAAGAGTAGTGTTGGAGTTCTTAAAAAGAGAGCATTGATAGTTAAAAGTAGTGTGGCAAAGGTTTAACTCTCTAGTACCCCCCTCAAAAAGAAAAAAAAAAAAGAATGAAAATGAAAGTGGAAAGAAACAGAAAGAAAGAGAAACGAAAAAGAGGTAATAAAACGGGGTAAATAAAGTAGAGAGTGCCACAAGGAATCAAAGAGTATTGTCTTGGAGAGGTTTCTTGGAACTCAAGCCATTGAAACCTCCACATTGTCTTAGAACTCCTTCAATACCAAATGGAAACGTGATAGCAAGAGTAGACCGAGCGAGAGCGCTTAAAGGAAGTTCAGGATGGGTGATAGTTTATAAGGGTGAAGCAAGGTTTTTGGCCGATGCTAGTGGCCATTGTTTGTAAGGAAGGTTCTTAGTCGAAACCATAGAACCTTCGGTTTAGGGTGAAGATGTAGGACCTCATGATGTGTTTTCCACCACCCAAAAAGCCTTTTCCCCATGTCCAAGACAATCACCAGTCATTTGAACCTGTGTCTAAGACCTCCGAACAACCTAGTGATGACAACCATTCCATGAACTCTAGCATTTATAGGTTGCCACCGTGGTGTTGAGACGATAGGGCGGAGTGTTGATGATTGTGCACATTATTTGCACCAAAAGGTCCTGACTCCACTGGTCAAGAGAGTGCATGTCATATCATACCCCGGTGAGGACCTTTGTTGCCCATCCGTTTGTTCCTTGGACTTGAATTCTATGCATGGTTAGTGGTGGTTGGTAAGTGATCTTGTTGAAACTTGCATTGATTCATGAACAAGGTGAGAACTTTTCATTTGCCCGTTTCTAGTATCCACGAATGTCGTTTGTGGTGGATGTCGGTATT